TACCATCCTCAGGAAAGATTGAGAGCAGCACATCTAATTCTTCCACGAAGTTACCTAGTGGTCCTTGGGGTCGATAAACAACTATAAAATTAATTTTAAGAGGGTGGGTAATAATGGTTGAATGTGATTCAAAGGAGCTGTTGATACTCAGAGATGGTAAAGGATTACATTTCCAATCATTAGGGATAAGCAGACCAGTACCTCCACCTCTTCTAGTCAGACGGGGGGAGTGGGAAAAAGATAAATTATTGGAGAGTGCTGCAGGAGTAGCATTGTCCTCTGGGATGATCCACGTCTCTGTCAGAGCCATGAGGTTTAGTCTTGAATGACTAGTAATAGAAGTAATAAAAATCTGCTTTGTTTACAGCAGACTGGCAATTTCAGAGACCAATAGAAAAAGAAAGTAGTGTATTAGTAGACATAGGCAAAGTGCACAGGTTGTTAGGATTGCGCTGCCTACATTGTGGGATGCATGGTTTGCGAGTGGTAGTGATATTAGGGATCTAGAAACACATAGTAAGAATATTACTTATTAATTATATTATATACTATTCACAAAGAAATGCATGTTGACCACATCCAACACTACAAGGATGCCTTGTCTAAAGTAAAATTTGACTTTTATTCCAAATTAATTTGGGCTAGTGGCCATAAATATTTGATGACCATCTGACTTTCTGCCACCAAATATGTAGACCTATTCCACCATTCTTTGCCAGACTTTTATTATCTGTTTTGAGTCTGAAATTGAAAATATCCACCAGCAGTTACTTTTCTTGTGCCTTCACACTCTGTCTTTTCTACTTTCACTCTACCGACTGCTGAAGATATATTTTGTCTTATCCGGAAATACAAATCTATCACTTGTCAGCTCAACCCTCTTTCAATTCACTTAGTCAAAACTGTTACCATCTTTGTCCTCTTTAATTACCGAAATTGTACACATACTTCTTGACAGGTTAGCTTTCGTTGGGATTACTGTCTTGGTTTAAAGCCTCTTTAGTTGTACTCAGTTAATCCAATTTAAACAATTCCAACCAAAACTATCTAAAGTTAACTGTGGTGTTCCTCAGGGTTTTGTTTTGGGCTATCTTTTATTCATTATCTATTTACTTCCTTTCTGTCATATTTTTAGTAAATCTGGTATCCATTTTCATTGCTACACTAATGACAACCAGCTGTCTTCCAAGCCCTTGAGTTCCTTCCCTCCACCTTCTTTGTCGAGCTGTTTAGCTGAAATTAAAGACTGGCTTTCAGCTAATTTCTTAAACTCAGTTGTAAAACTGACGTCCTCCTTGCAGGATTAAAGAATATTCTGCAAAAATCTGATTATCTTTCTGTAGCTAAAAAAAATGTACTTCGGTTAAGAGACTGGGTGTCATCCACAATAAAACCCTATCCTTTGAAGCTCATGTTAATATCACTCATACTGCATAGCCTACTTTCATTGAAGTAATATCAATCATCACTGTCCCTCCCTCACAATGAGTAGCACTGCAGTTCTTCCATGCACTGGTTGCTACATGTATTGATTACTGCAGTGCTCTCCTATCTGGTCTCCATTCTAAACATCTTTATAAAATTCAGTTGTTTAAGAACTCTGCAGTTCGTATTCTTTCTAGAACTCCTTCCATCAAGCATATTTCTCCAGTTCTTCAGCGATTATACTGGCTTTCTGTATTGTAAATGTATCAATTGTAAATGTCTGCTTCTTACGTTCAAGGCTTTTAATAATCTCACTCCTCCATACCTTAAAGGATTAGTTCACCTCCAGAATAAACATTTCCTGATAATTTACTCACCCCCATGTCATCTGAGATGTTCATGTCTTTCTATTTTCAGTCGCAAAGAAATTAAGGTTTTTGAGGAAAACGTTCCAGGATTTTTCTCCTTATAGAAAAATACAGCTTGCTGTCTGTGTTATTAATATTAAAGTACAAAAGAAAAATCACTCTGATCAAATTTGCTCTTGACTGAATCTTTAGTAAGGATTAATCTATAAATATGTGGTAAAACGAGATAAATACTGCTCAGCATAAACGCAAAATTAACAGTCTCACGCAGGCGCAACAGCAGCGTAGGTTTCGTTTTGTGTGAAAACATGAATGAAGGCAGAGTGCTGAAAGAAATTAAATGAAAGAATGTATGAATTAATTAATTCTATGAATGCATAAGGGAGAATGGACTGTTTCTATGATATTTGCTTTTAATTTGCCCAATGTCGCGAGACTGCTTTATTTACAGCGGTTACCGAGGAAACCGCTCTATTTCTGCTGTTCCTTTCGCGACATCTGCTGTCAGACAGTGGAGTTACATTTCATTCAGCCCCGTCTGCCTTTTTTGTTCAGACCAATGCGAAAGACGGCTCAATTTTTTATTGTAAATCTTAACCTGTAGATGTAAAACAAGGTAATGTGCATTCTAAAAATCTCAACTCTAAAATGTCTATAATTTATGATTTTGATCCTTCTCTTAAAATGAGTTAACGACTGAAATGTGAGGTTAATCATTTAATTTTTTAATTTTTTAATTTATTTACTTACTTTTGGTCAAATCTAGTAGATAACATGTTATGTTGTAAGTCACCAAACCTTTATTTTATGATTGTTTATAATCCAGCCATCATTTTTAATAGTAGTATTTTAATGTTTATGCAAACAAAACGTGTATAGTGCTGCTAATTTTATTTATTGTTTGTTGGTTTTTGACATTATACAGTATTTTTCCTTAAATTATGTTAATAATAATAATTTCCGGAAAATATTATGTTCTTTATGTGTAGTCTTAATTTTGATAATCCACTGAATATTAAATGGTACTAAAACTATACTCCCCCCTCCCCCCCATCGGCCCGCCCCTGAATGACCGACCATGTTTGGGAGTTGAAAATACGCGTGTAAATCTGCTTGTAAATCTGTGTAAAAAAATAGCTGAAAACAAAACACACGTATATGTGTCCACCCCCGCACCCCTCCCTCACCCCCAGAAAAAAAGTTCAGGCTCAGGATTTTTTTTTTGCTTTAACCCCTGCGAACAGATTGCAGACAACTGTTCTCAGGTTCTTACGCCACATGTCAATTTTCTCATTTAGAACATACAAAAAAAGAACATAGAAAAAGTTTTGAAAGTTCAAAGTTGCTTTGACTTTGGAAAAAATGTAAGATGTAAACCTCCAAATTTCATTTCTCTAATTATCATATTGTGTCCTCATAAACCATATATGCCACACAGACACAAATATACACAGCAGAGCAGCATCCACTAATCCATCCTTGTTCTCTTCAGATTTTCAGGTTCTTTATTATATAAATACATTTTAACAATTTGCATCGTATGTTTTTACATTTTACCTAGTGAAAGTGAAGGACAACAATCTTCTTCCCATTCTGCTGGAGGAGTTTCCGCGGGTGCAGCTCTCTCCTCACACTTTGTCCCGTATGTGGAAACAGCAGCTCCGACAGATTGACCAGCTCAGCTCTTCCCAAAACCAAAACAGACAGACACAGTCCAAACTTTTAAAACAAGTGAGAGATCTAACACACACACAGAAACACACCGATTTTATGTAAACCATTTACATTTACAGTAGTATTATCAGCATAATATCAGCATGACAATTAAATAACTTTCTCTATAATGTAAAAATTAAAAATGGCTAAATGTAAGAAAAAAATCTAGATAATATATTCCGGGCCTTACATTGGCATAATGTGGTGGCAAAAAAAAGGTTTTATTCACTGAAAATATTGCCTTCTGCTCTTAACACTTTTTGATACATATGTTAATACTTATAGTGACATGCTGTTGTATTAAGCATTATATATTGTATAGTCACATGTAATAATATGCAATAAACCTAGTCATGTGTTGACAGATTTTAGTTTCTAACTGATATGTCTCAGCTGACTACTGATCAGTGTGCACAAGTTCATTGTGTTTCAGCACTGAATGGGTTCACGTTTTTGTATTTGTAGCTAGAAGAAGCTCAGAAAAGACATGACATGCTGGTGCAGATAATCCACAAAGAAAAGGAACACAACCGTCGCCTGGTAAGAGCATACTCATAATAAAGACGCAAAGACTAAATCACACAAAATTAAAAGCCTTTGAGCTCAGCTACTCAAAATCTTATGTCTGTATGTTTCAGAGAGAGTTCAGGGAGAGGATCCAACAGCAGAAGTCAGCTCAAAATAAGCTTAGAGAACAGAGGCAACAGGTTGCTCGTGCTAAAAAATATTACAGCGTCTATCATGTTCAGCTACGTGCCAGACTGATGCAAGCAAAGACACAAGAAGAGCAAGTAAGTGCCAAATCCACAAACGCTATTACAGGTGCTAAATTGTTTTAAAACCATAACCCTTAGCATTAAACGCCTATGGCCTGCAGGCCAAGTAATGGAAATCTAATGCAGTGGCAGAATTGCCCTCACACAGATGCTGTTACTTATATATCCACTAGAGTTCCTCTTGTTGGTATCGTTAAAGGGCACTAGAGGAGGACATTCCTCGCGCCATGTCATATCTTCAAAAGTCGCATTGTTTTCTCTATTTGGAGTACAAACCCAATTGAATAAAATATTGAGATTTGAAACTTCCACATCATTGCATTCTGTTTTTATTCACAATTTGTACAGCGTCACAACTTTTTTGGAATCGGGTTTGTATACAAGACTAGGTAATTATTTGATATGTTGTCACTCTGCGGCAGAAATTCAACATCAATTTCCATTCCGATAAAATTAAATCTAGAATATTATTAGTGCAATTAATGGGTCCTTTACGTGGAAGTGAAGCAGTCAGTTAAGTTAACGTTATTTAGTAAAGTGATCAAAAAAGATGTTTTGTTATAGCTTTTAGAGCAAGGGCGCCACCATCTTGCGGTACCATCACGTGTGACGTCACGGGGTTGGTTCGCTCCGATGGCCAGTGAAGTAATATAAGCATTTCTTTACATTTTGAACACACAAATGTTATTTTAACACACAAATAATTTGGGTTTCACCATAATTTGGATGAATATTCAACATCAAACTGTCTATATGCTAAGTTTTGATCGTGGTATCCCAAACATTGTTTTCATAATGCCAGGCGCAAGGTGATGTAACCAGACGACGCTTCATCATTCATGTCGCATTTTATTGTTATGTCAGACCATTAAGACATATGCATTACATTGACTGGTTCACCAGTTGTATGTATCATATTTTATGTTCACCTGCGAATACAATTAGCGTTTAACTAATCACTTAACGTTATCTGAACAATCGGACCAGTGCTGCTTCCTCAATAAAGTTTATCATTCTCACGTGTTTTTAGCCTTGTCAGTTTAAATATTAAAGTGATTAAGCCATTTAAGCGTGAGACAGCATGGAATAAATTTCAGTGCGGTTTTTACACGCTGTGATAGACCTTTTCTGAAAGAGATTTAAATGCGGTACTCAGGCGTTGTGATAGATCATTTCTGTTCGCGGCTTCGCGCTGGTGGCGCCGCACACACACACAAAGCCACAGCTCGGCTCGGACAGCACGTGAGTAGGCTACCAAATTGAGCTTTCTGTCACGCCTTCATCAACAAGTGCACACAAAGCATGTCGGAGTGACAGTCTTGAGGAGTATCCACGTAAACGAGTATTGTTTCCGATTTACTGGTGTGGTTTCTTCAAACCCTAATACTGCTCGGTCCCATCGCCGTATCGGCTCAAATGCATAGGCAATTGCACTTATTATGGACTTAACAGTGCTTTCATTGTAATCTTCCTCCATTTCAAAACAAGCGTGTGTTCAAAATAAAGAAATGCTTCTATTACTTCACTGGCCATTGGAGCGAACCAACCCCGTGACGTCACACACGGTGGTACTGCAAGATGGCGGTGCCCTTGCTCTAAAAGCTATAACAAAACAACCTTATTTCTTTAAAATGGTTACATTAATCATGTTTATTATATATTTTTTAATCAAAGTGGAAATCACTTTTCTAAATAATGTAAAATTGACTGACTGCTTCATTTCCACTTTAAGCATGTTGTCTAACCCCAGCAGTTCAGGATGTGTAAAAATGCCGGTCCTAATGCATCTTTTCATTATCTACGTGGATGTTAAAATTGGCAACAATTGACGTTATCTGCAAACAGTATTAATTTGGATATAAAATTAGCAAATCATGATGTCTCTGTGATGCCCTGGTGACCTGTATACAGTAGCCATTAAAAAAAAGTGTGATCTTAGTTGTACTCTGAAAAAGTGTCTTTCAAAGAAATGTATATATTTAAGGGTATAGGCCTATATACAATGCTTTATGAAAGTATTCATACCCCTTCGTTTTTTTCACGTTTTATGTTGCTGCCTTATATTAAACTACTTTTTTCCACATCAATCTACACTTTGTCACCATAATGACAGCAAAAAACTGGTTTGTAACAACTTCTCAAATTTATTAAAAATAAAAAACAAATAATTTTTATTGCATAAGTATTCATTTTCTGGGACACATGAAATTTAGCTCAGGAGCATTCATATATCTTGTAGATGTCACTACACTTCAAGTGGAGTTAACCTGTGGCAAATAGAAAAAAACAAGTCCTGAGATCAAAAGAACTGCCTGTAGAGCTCAGAGACAGGATTGTGTCAAGAGACAGATCTGGGGATGAGTTTAGAAAAAATTCTGCCGCATTAAAGGTTCACAGAAGCATGCAGCCTCCATTATCCTTAATGGAAGAAGTCTGGAACAACCAGGACTGAGGGACTCGTCAGAGTAAAATGAAAGCTCAATGCAGCAAAATATGGGGAAGGGGGAAGTCGTGGCCTAATGGTTAGAGAGTCGGACTCGTAAACCCAAAGGTTGCGGGTTCGAGTCTCATACCGGCAGGAATTGTAGGTGGGGGGAGTGAATGTACAGCGCTCTCTTCCACCTTCAATACCACGACTGAGGTGCCCTTGAGCAAGGCACCGAACCCCCAACTGCTCCCCGGGCGCCGCAGCAAAAAATGGCTGCCCACTGCTCCGGGTGTGTGTTCACGGTGTGTGTGTGTTCACTGCTGTGTGTGTGCTCTTAGGATGGGATAAATGCAGAGCACTAATTCCGAGTATGGGTCACCATACTTGGCCACATGTCACGTCACGTCACTTTATATAGAGACAGCCATAATGAAAACCTCCAGAGCATTCAGAACCTGAACTGGGCAGAACTTTCACCTTCCAACAGGACAATGACCCTATGCACACACTAAGACAATGCAAGAGTCACTTATGGACAACTCTATGAATGTCCTTGAGTGGCACAGACAGAGCCTTGGCTTAAACCCAATCAAACACTTGCAAAGTTGTCACAAATCTGCTTTTTGCTTTGTCATTATGGTGTGTAGAGTGTAGATTGATGAAAAAGGGAGTAGGAGTAATTATTGAATTATTCAGCTTTTATGAACAAGCAGAAGATAATGCAGTTTTTCCAGTAGTAGGCGGAACTAATGCGCAAACAGCAATCTAATTGGCTGGCTCTCATCTATTACCGTCCCTGTTTTGATTTCAGCAAATCAGCTTGATTATATTGCCAATGTGTGCATAGAGGGTTGAAAGGTGAGCCTAGCGTTTTGATTCTTTCTGCTGTTGAGAGGCTTGGTCACTGCAGAGTGGGCTTTCAGTCTGACTTCTCTTAAACATGCCAAAGACAGATCCTTACCCTGTTCAGTGCTGAACTGGCAAGCTATTCCAGCTGCAGTGTTGAACCGATTCCCTATTGAGAGTCCTCTGCATTATCCTGTCTTCTCATGCTTGTCTCTTACGTGGGCGACCAGCCTTTTTGGGGGACTTGAATGAATTAGTGTCATTGTAAACCTGCAATATTCGAGGAATCACAGATTTGGAATGACCAACTTCTCTTGCAGTGGCTGAAAGGGTCATCCCTTTGGCCTTCATCTGGACAACCTCCTGTCGCAGAGTTTCAGTCACCTTAGAGCGGCCCGCCATCTTGCAATCTCAGTGAAAATTAGAGGAATGCTGCCAGTTAAATAGTGTTTGTTTAAATAGTGTAAAGATACTTGAAGGTATCTTTAAGTGTTCCCTAATTTTGTTCTTTTTAAAATAACTCATTTAAGTTTTTTATACTGTGCTTCATAATACAATTAATTTATGAAATATGATTAAAACACTGCCCTTCTACTCCTGTTAGGATAACTTTAAATGGGACTAAGCAGTGACCTTGAAATTTAGGAAATTATTGGTTGTTCTCTAATTTTGATCTCCACTGTGTGTGTGTGTGTGTGTGTGTGTGTGTATATATATATATTAGTATTTTAACCCTTTCCAACAATGACTGTATGATTTTGAGATCCATCTTTCACACTGAGGACAACTGAGGGACTCAGACGCAACTATTGCAAAATGTTCAAATGGTCACTGATGTTCCAGAAGGTAAAATGATGAGGAATAGGTGTTGACTTGGCCTCCAAATTCCCCAGATCTCAGTCCAATCGACCATCTGTGGTATGTGCTGAATGAACAAGTCCGATCCGTGGAGGCCCCACCTCGCAACTTTCAGAACTGCTGCGAACATATTGGTGCCAGATACCACAGCACACCTTCACGGGTCTAGTGGAGTCCATGCCTCGACGGGTCAGGGCTGTTTTGGCAGCAAAAGGGGGACCAACACAATATTAGGAAGGTGGTCATAATGTTATGCCTGATCGGTGTATGTATACAGTATACATACACCGATCAGGCATAACATTATGACCACCTTCCTAATATTGTGTGCCAGTGCTGCTTGAAAGTTTGTGAACCCTTTCAAATTTTTTATATTTCTGCATAAATATGATGCAAAACATAATCAGACTTTTGCACAAGTCCTGAAAGTAGACAAAGAGAACCCAATCAAACAAGTGAGACAGAAATATGTTCTTTGTCATTTATTTATTCAGGAAAATTATACAATATTACATATCTGTGAGTGGCAAAAGTATGTGAATCTCTAGGATTGGCAGTTAATTTGAAAGTGAAATTAGAGTCCATCTGTTTTTCAGAGTTGTTTTCAATCAGTGAAATTACTATCAGGTGTCAGTGCGTGCCCTGTTTTATTTAAAGAACATGGATCTATCAAAGTCTGATCATGTTTGTGGAAGTGTATCATGGCACAAACAAATGCGATCTCTGAGGACCTCAGAAAAAGAGTTGGTGTTGCTCATCAGGCTAGAAAAGGTTTCAAAGCCATCTCTAAAGAGTTTGGACTCCACCTATTTCAAAGGTTTCAAAGGACTGCAGGCTAACTTCTAAGCAACTAAAGGCCTTTCTCACATTGGCTAATGTTTATGAGCCCATCATCAGGAGAACACTGAACAACCATGGTGTGCATGGCAGAGTCGCAAGGAGAAAGCCACTGCTCTCCAAAAAGATCATTGCTGCCCATCTGCAATTTGCTAAAGATCATGTCAGAGGAATACAGGAGAAATGTTTTGTGGATGGATGAGACCAAAACATAACTTTTTGGTTTAAATGAGCAGCGTTATGTTTGAAGAAAGAAAACACTGCATTCCAGCATAAGAACCTTATCCCATCTGTGAAACGTGGTGGTGAAACATGGTGGTGGTAGTATCATGGTTTGGGTCTGTTTTGCTGCATCTGGTCCAGGATGGCTTGCCATCATTGATGGAACAATGAATT